ATTCTTCACAGAATCACAGAATCACTAAGGTTGGAAAAGACCCATAAGATCATCCAGTCCAACCATCACCCCAACACTGCTGTACCCACTAGTCCATGTCCTCAAGTGCCATGTGTTTTCCTGATCATCCAATTTATATACTGGCCAACACTGCATGCAGTAAGTCCTCAATTTACTTTTAGTTAGCAGATCCCCACCCCCCACCCAGACCAGCTTCTTCCAGTTTTTCAGAATGCGTCCTAAAGGAGAACAAGGAGATATCTCAGTTGACACATTAGATCCCAGCTGGAGCCCCTCTGCTATGGGGACAGGCTGGGAGAGTTGGGCTTGTTCAGCCTGGAGAAGAGAAGGCTCCGGGGAGACCTTATTGCAGCCTTCCAGTGCCTGAAGGGGCTACAAGGAAGCTGGGGGGGACTTTTTACAAGGGCCTGTAGTGACAGGACAAGGGGTAATGGGTTTAAATTGAAAGTGGCGAGGTTTAGATTGGATATCAGGAAGAAGTTCTTCCCAGAGAGGGTGGGGAGGCACTGGGACAGGTTGCCCAGAGAAGCTGTGGATGCCCCATCCCTGGAAGTGTCCAAGGCCAGGCTGGATGAGGCTTGGAGCAACCTGGTCTAGGGGAAGGTGTCCCTGCCCGTGGCAGGGGGATTGGAACTGGATGGGCTTTAAGGTCCCTTCCCACCCAAACCATTCTGTGATTCTATGATTTCTAGGGAAAACTTCTTAATTCATGACTGTGTACGCTACTGGTATAACATGTATCAGTACAATTAACCTCCTACTGTGGTCCCTTGGTGGAATGACTTATCTAGGGAGAGACACATACAGTTATACACAACACCTCTCTTAAAGCCATCAACCAATTTCTTAATCGATCTATGTCCCAGTCTGAGCATTGCACCTTCGAGCCACTTACTGTGCAGCCAGGGAGAGGGGTCTATGGAGTCCCCGATCGAAAGGCCGGTGCGTGCTGGAGTCCGTACAACCCACTCCCCACTGCCTCTCGGCAAGCTGAACCAGGCAAGGCTTTCAAAGATCTCCCATCTGGGTCACCAGAGAAACTGTTGTCGCAGAAGTGCACGTTCGTTCCCGGTGTGCAAGGACCCATCCTAAACACAGAGACGGGATATTGGCTTGATTAACGGAGTGACGCAAGTTTGGGTGCTGGGTGAAACTAGCGTGACCATTTATATATAAAGTCCCGAACTTTACTCATTCTTACCCCAATTCCAGCAGAGAGGATTGGTCACTTCATCAGCACATACCTTCCGTAAGTAAAACACCCCGCACATGCTCAAAGGGGAAGGGTCTTTCCTTGGGCCAGGGCCTCCTACCTAAGGGGTGTGGTCTTCAGTATTATAACGAGGGGAGTTCCGTTTAGGACATCATTTTCATCCCAAAAGCTGAGCATGCATTCTTAATTATGAACAAGGTAATGTGAGTGCCCATAGTTACACGTTCTCCCCAGGACGTTTCAGCCTTCAAGGGCATCGTCCCTGATCAGGAGTTCCTCACCTAGTCACTCCTGGTGTTTCGGAGCGTCTTCAAGGACAGAGCATTTGGCTACTACTAAGCACATACAACCGCCTACGTATACGTATTCCTGTGTCTCAGTTGAAGGGTTCATTATCTGTGCTCAAGACAACAACACGGTTGGCTTTCTGGGCTGCCGGCGCACTGACTCACGTTAAGCTTCTCATCAACCACCACCCCCAAGTCCTTCTCCTCAGGGCTGCTCTGAATCCATTCTCCAGGTATTGCCCCCACTCTCAGGATCTTTCCTCTAGCTGCTCTCTTCACCTTCTTTCCATCCCCTTCCTCCCAACTCTTCTTTCAAGAACACCAAGCCCACAATTTTCCCAGTGTAAATATTTTATGTGCTGAAACATAACACCAGTCTCCTGATTGGTCGTTCTGCCTCTCTTTTTTAAGAGTGCATTCTCTTTAGCCCAAGTGTGTGCTGGGTGCAGGCAGGAATGAGCTCCTCTCCTACAGAGAGCTGGCGGGCACACCGTGGCCGAGGGATTTCGCTTCGTGCCGTGGTACATCGGGCTCCGTGGTCAGGCCGGGTGCGCACATGCGCAGCTCTTTGCCTGCGGGAGGATTGTTAAGGCTTTTGGACTAGCAGAGGAGCAGTTTTCTTTTGTTAGTGGGTTGGGAGGGTGGGGCTATGTTTTCTTCCTGCTCTCAGGGGATGGGGGAGTGGGGTGGTGTCTGTGTTTCTCCCCACCCCAGGAACTGTTTGCTGGTTTTTGGCCCTGGCTGCTTATCAGTCAGCACGTGGTGACCTACTGTATCACATGTTCTATTTTCTATTGTTTTAATTACTTATTAGTAGTAGTATTGTCAGTATCACTGTAATTCTCATTTATATCATTAAATAGTTCTTATCTCAACTTTTATGAGCTTTCCTTGGCTTTTTTTATCCCCAGCTCTCCTCCACTGCGGGAGAGGGGGAGGTGATGGAGAACTCTCTGGTACTTAATTGTCAGATAAGGCTAAACCGGGACAGTTCTTCTTGGTGCCCAATATGGGGCTCGAGCGGGTTGGGGTAAGAACAGATCTGAAGAGTGTGTGCAAGTATTTGGTACAACAGTGTGGTGGTGGCTGATCCAGAGGCTGAGTTCGGGGCTCTAAGTTGCTAAGTGAATGGCAGGATCTGCTGCCTTTCCTGTGCCTTATTATCCTGATCCTACAAACTGGGTTGTGGGGTTTGGTTAGGCTGTTCGGTGTACTGCTGACATTGGGAGGGATCATCTATCTGTATTTAATATTGTCAGCCCCCTGGTACTTGGCAAGTTATCCCCTGGAGGCTTTCGGTATTTACACCTTCCCCTTTTCCTACTCAGGAATTCAGCCTATAGAGGAGAGATTATTCAGTGCTTGGGCCAATGGCAAAGGTGTATGAGTATTTTGGAAGTTTTTCATGGGGCTGGGGTGACCTGTGGTTAGGGATCAGCACAAGGTGTTACCAAAATTAAGCAGCAGCCCATGCGGGATGCAGCTAGCAAGTTGCAGGGTCCTGCCTGGGAGTCGACAAGTGCCTCTGTGAGGTACTAGCCCCTGAAATTATGCAAAATTCTCTTTCTGTAGAAGCTCCATTTCTGCACAGAGGTGTAACTCCCCAAATCGAAGATACTCCACAGATTAATCAAACAAGAACTCTTTATTTTGACATATCAAGGCAGTAAAATGCAAGTATACAAAAAGTATATACAAAAGTGGCAGTGATAATGCAACCTGATGCAATCCTACAGAAATCCAATCCAGAGGGGACTGCTTCATCAATATACCTATCTGTAAAATATTGCACCACTTCAAAGAGGGAGCACTCAGGAAGAAAGTGTTTATACTCCAGGGAGGTACAACAGCCCCTAAACTGCTATCTTCAACTTCAGAGTAAGGCACCAATTGGCAAGTATGATCCTTGTTCCGTTTATTACTTTGCGTGTCAGGGAAGTGCAAGATGCGTGTTAATGCTGCACCTTTGTCAGCTGGAGGAAACACACCCTTCGTTTTCCTAGGCAGAACAACAAAAAAGCACATGCTTAATTTTCCAGCCTCCCTCTATATCCCTTTGTGCTTCCTAGTCATAATTCTATCCTGATTTTTTTTTTTTAATCTAACTGTGGCATTTAAAATCAGTAAGTCGGGAACCATGCCAACTTTCTGCCACAGAAGGGAGAGACACTCAAGTGGACAGACTGTACTCCATATGTAGCCCAGTATATAAGGACTCATGCTCTACCACAAAAAGAGAACCATCCCTATCTCCCACATCACTTCAAATGGGAGTAACTGCAGCTGGACACAAGCAAGAGACAAATTACAGCTTGAAGAGACTGTAGGAAACTTCCAGAAGTGATGGATTATACCACATTTCTTACTGACCAGTTGAAAAGACACTTTGCAAACAACATTAGCTAAAAAAACAGCTTTGAATGATCATGGCTGAAGAAAACTCACATAGCAGGGTAATTGTATGAAACTCTCCCCTTTCATTTAAAAGGGAAACAAACTGCAGTGATAAAAAAGTCCAAGCAACACACTTAGACTGTGAAGAGCTGCCTAAACAGAAGTCACAAGATCCTTTTGTACAAGGCTCTAGGACTTCAGGGATTCAGTTATCCAGTGCAATTTCTAGACTCCTGAGAAGTTGGCGGATTGAGTGCTGTACCTGTTGTGACACATGGGTATCATGGCAAACGAATTCCTCAAAAGTAGTATTCCATGCAGGCGGTCACTCTTGGGACTAAAGGAAGCTAATCTAAAAATCTATAGATTCAAAACTATTTCTGGGGCAGTTTACAGAGGCTTATTTGGCTGTGTAAGAAATCCTGGATCTCTATTTGTTTTGCTGATAATCTGGGATTGTCTTGTAGTTTTCTTGGTAACTTGGCTAGAGAAGGAACATGCAAAAATAGACTTTAAAGTGATCGAGATGGGTAGGAAAGTGTCAAGCAGTGAAAACAATAACCTCCCATTTTAGAGAGGGGAAAGATTCTCTTTCACAGGGGAGCCCCTCTTCTAATGCGCACAGGAGCTGACTGTCCTGCACAAAGAACCAGGCAGAAAGTATTTAAAATTTTTTAAATACAAGCACGAGTAACATTTTATGAATCATTTTCCTTTCAGAAAGGCTTAACTTAAAAAAGTATTTATAGCCTGATTCCCTGTTCACATTCACTTTGCTTACAAATGTCCTTATGTGTCCTTCCAAGGGATGTTCCCACTTCTCACTTTCAGTGTTGATCCTCGTTCCATCAACTCTATACATATGGAGGAAGTCAGGATATTAGTATTTTAAATACTGAACCAAGCTGGATTGCAAAGAGTTGCCATGTTCTTGTAGAAAAAGGCGTCAAGAATTGGACTGGACAGAGAGAAACAAGCGTTTCCTGCTTGCCACCTGGTGTCAGAGTCCTGAAGAATAAAAACGTACATATCCACACTCCAAGTTCAGCTTTGGCAGTATCTCTCCTCCAACAGAGCCAGCAGGTTTATTTTCCCGGCAGATAGCCAGGGAACAGGTAAAGGTCCCGACAGAGTGTGCTACAGTATTCTGACATTTCCTTGCAGCGGTGAAATTCTGTGCCTGGGGCATAACCTTCTCGTTGCTTGATTTGCCTATTCACCTAGATGTGAGGTTAGAAAAAAAATAAAAAAATGACTGGAAAGATGAAGAAAGCAGAAATAAGAAAAGCGTCATTGTTTCCTGTACTCCTAGATTATTGTGTTGAAGTGATACTCTACGTACTGTCTTTGTAAGTCGTAAGAAGGATGAAGAACTAGGGTGCAGCTCCACAACAGCCCAAGTTGCGTGGCCACACTGCTGTTTCACTCCCTCTTACCCCATTTTCTTACTCTTTCCCTTACGTGAGCACAAGCATTTGTCCAGGTACATGGGAAACCAGATCTATTCTTCTAAGCTCACCACGCAACCGCACACATGAAACGGTTCATGTGTCAAAGAAACAGCATTTTTACTTCTGTTAAAGTGCTGTGGGACTGTACGTATATATATATGTATGTATATATAGTTCTATATAAACAAGGCAAGAAGTAATTACTTTGCTGAAAACGAGGCAAGAACAACTGCTTTAATATTAGATTAATTCTAGCAATGTGAAGCACTGGCAGACTGCTCAGAAATCAGGCAAGTGTGGGAAAGGAAAGAGACTCCAGCTCACCTTCACCAACATGTCAGCCACGTGAGTGTCTCGGGAGTCCTCTGCAAAGACAGAGGTGAGAGCCTCGATGTACCAGGATCCACGCTTGGTGTTACGCATGGCCGCGGTGCCTAGGAAGGAAGCGCGTATAATGGTTTCTGGGGAACAGACACAAAGAACCTCCTTATGCCCAAACAGTTAGGGCCTCTCCCCTGTACCTTTCAGACAAGCATATCCACAGATCATATCAGAGCACGTAGGCAGACGAAGCTTGAGATTTTCTTCCTTGTTGGCATCACTTTCCTCACAGCCTGGGGAATCTGACCATTCTTTCCCATCTCTTTGATCCACTCCCCGGTCTGTCTCATCTGGGGGGCAATGAACAAGGAGTTGGGGGAGAAGAAGGACAAAAAAACCCCCAAAACAACACAAACAAGCAACTACCCTGAAATAGTGCATGTAGTTCTCCTGTACTTCCTTAGTTGTGAGCTCTGGTCAGCAATGCCACAGCTGCTGTCAAGCAGGAAGCTTTTGTATGAATATCATGCCTTTTCAGCTGATTTTAAAACTCATCTGCAAGTTCTTTGGCACAAACTATTGCAGATACTAACAAGTGCTGAACCTGCCCAACCTGAAGTGACTGTCAGTCTATGTGCAGATTGGTTTTTTTTTCCCCTCTCCTATGCAAATCATGGGATAACTGGAAAGCAAATAAGTTTCTGATAGTTCTTTATGACACAGACAGATCTGATGCCTATCCCTAAATGTTTCCATTTTCCACTTTTACCTACCTTAGAGAAGTCCAAAAATGTCTAACCTAGTTTGCAGTGCTACCTACCTACTTACTGCAGAACTCAAATGAAAGCTGTAATTTTAGCTGCTGAGGCCTATCCAGGCCATCAAGAAAAAATGGACCAAATGTCTCACCTAGTGCTAAATCCTGATTATAATATCACTTGTTTCAATCAAAAGCGTAAGTTGTGCCATAGTAAAATGCAAAATAATTTGACCCCAAACACGAGAGAGAGAACTCCAGTACCCGGAGATTAGCTTAACACCTAGAACATGTTTAACGCCCTTTCCAGGATTCATTAGTGTGTTAGGACAAGTGTAGAGAGTCTAAACTGCCTGGTCACATGATACAGAGCTTCCATCGTAACCCAGGCTAACTGCTTAGTGGCAATAATAGTCTAGCTATGTTGTAAGAAAAATACAACTACATTTTCCAGTTTTCCTATGTAATTTTGCCTTTTTGTTCTTTTGTTATGAGAATCTACTCTTCTTACTTGCTAACAGCATGGGTCAGGTTCTAGTCTTAGGAGGCGTAAGTGCCCGCTTCGGAGGCCTTCCTGTTATGATGCCTCTAGGTTTTTGTGGTCAGGCTGTGCCCAAGAAACGCATTTGGATTCCTAAGCCGTTTACAGGTGGTGGCACTGGTGGCATCTCATCATTATGCACAGGAAATGGTCAGCTCCTAAGTCAGCAACGTTGTTTGATCACTCCAAAACGAAAGGAGCAGTGAACCCAGGGTGTGATTGTCAGACAGGCTAGACAAAGCTTGTAATTACAGCTTCATAGCTCAAAGTTTCATGATTCCTGGAACCACAGGATGGTTTGGGTGGAAGGGACCTTAAAGACCATCCAGTTCCAATCCCCCTGCCATGGGCAGGGACCCCTTCCACTAGACCAGGTTGCTCCAAGCCTCATCCAGCCTGGCCTTGGACACTTCCAGGGATGGGGCATCCACAGCCTCTCTGGGCAACCTGTCCCAGTGCTTCCCCACCCTCTCTGGGAAGAACTTCTTCCTGATATCCAATCTAAACCTCCCCACTTTCAATTTAAACCCGTTCCCCCTTGTCCTGTCACTACAGGCCCTTGTAAAAAGATTACTTCCATCAGGTTCCTTCCTCATCTCTTTAAGGTAGCAATGCAAAGTTTTCCATTTTTAACCGCATTTTTATGTCTTTTATCACACTTCTCCAAATCATTTTAGTTCTGCATCTTCTTTAAAATTTAGTGCATTGTTCACAGGGTATTTTATTTTTGATAAGGCTCAGGTAATTTTACAGCCAGCCTGTATTACTCATACTGTCATCAACCCATGATGTATAAAGTCAAAACCTTTTTGATAAGAGTGTCAGAATTAAATGTCTTCCTCATGCGTCTTCAAGCACCATCCCAGACAACTTACCAAAGTAATTAAGAAGTGTAAAGCAGTAACACTTTCAGGATATTCCTCTGCATACTTAACCTCTAACTTGTATCACCAATAACTGCCACCCAGAATGACCTAGTCTGTTTAAATTTTACTGAACCTTCTAGATCACTGTTTTCCCAATTGATTTAAGTAACTGCTAACTACGTATTTATCAGTCCTTGATGTTTCTGGATCAACCACTGTATTGACCACAGATGTGACGCAGCCTCGGTGTCTTATTTTATGCCATAGTGAAATATGACTATGTGTGTTTTCCCATTGCCACTGGTTTTTGACCCATGACTGTAGTTGGACTACTTCAGTTCTTTTTTAGTAGACTCCTGCCAAAGGCACTCTGGAAATCAAGCAGACTGTACCACTGCTTCTTTATCTACATTTTTAATGTGTCATTAATACTAGATAGGTAGGTAAGGCCTATTACATAAACTTTGGGAAAAAGAATAACCTATGCATTTCTCTGTTCTTTCAGCTGGTTCCAGCTAACTTGCGTGGCATGCAGAGACTGACCACTAACATACAGTTGTCTATGCTATTTAAATGCTGCCTTTTTAAGAAAAAAAAAAAAAATATATTGGCTTGTCTAACCTTTGAATGCTAACAGAGAGACATTCCTGTTGACAGTTCAATCACTTTGTAACTAGCTTTCCCCTTCAACCTTAATCAAGGTTTAAAAGGTTAAAAAAAAGGCAGTTTTATGCTCTTTTGATTTAAAGAAATTATTATTCCCTTACTTCCTTTTTGCTCAAGTCTCAATCCTTTGCCTATTGCAGCGTCCAAGTTCTGGAGTATTTTGTGTAGCTTAACTGAAACCTTTTTGGGAATAGGAAGGCCAAGCCTGACTTGATGTGAACAGAGCCGTTAGAATAAGATTACAGCCAAATAAACTTCATGACTTCAGTCAGCTGCCACTCCTGGCTTATTACACTTACTTCCATACTGTTACGAGCTTGCATATTCACGTTTGTTCAAGAGTATCTACAGGTTCACTAACGTAAGGAAGACAGTCACATTCAACCCATACTGTGAACATGCACGTCACAGTATCTCCAAATGCCTAAAGGATCGAATATTTTTGATACTCAAAATACTTCATGTATGATTTAGGTTCTTCTCTGCACTGGGACTAAACACAAGTAGGTAACAGATGAAGGAAACATTTTCTTGGCTAGAGTGTAAAATAAAGAAAAGTCAGACAATTGCAAGGAACAAGGGAAAAGGGGAAAAACACGCTAGAAAACCTTCTCAATCACAGGGGGAAAACCAAAGCTTTCTAAGACAGAGTATCTGCAGTTTCACAGCACTTTGCAGGTTCCAAACACTTTAAGGAAAAATTGGGTCATTAGCAGGTCTGAAAGGTAGTTACAGATCTGTGTTTAGTAACAAAAGGAGGGAAAATGAGTAGTAGAATTAAAAAAAGATAGGAGCAGAAAGAGTGCATAAAGAACAGGTCTGTGAGAATCAAGAAAAGAATTCTGTATCTACAACAGACGTGGAAAATGGTGTAAGGAAAGGTCATTTAGCGTTTGAAAGCAGGATAGGCTTAAGGACAAAAAACTGTATGACCTGGAGCATGATAGCTCGAGAGACACCACCACCAGAGGCACAACACGCTCAGGGTCAAAAGGACGGACCTCAGACAAGACCAGTGTTAGTGTACCACTCCATGATGTGGTGGAACTTGATGCGCCGCATGCCCCACTCCCCCTACTGCAGGCATAGCAAGAGAAAGCCTCGATATATGAGTGGGCTATGCGAGTTCTTTATGACTAAGATGCTCTGGGGTCTGCAAGTCAATGCACACACCTCATGCAGAGCAAGACACTTACAGAGCAACAGATGCAGTGGCAGCAGCAGGGCAGAGGGAGGTGAATATGGGTCCCACTTACACCTGAGAGAAGCAAAGAGGAGAGTTGACAGCAAGTTGAATGTGAGGGTGTGTATGTGTGTAAAAGGAGCCTTAATGGCATGCCAAATACATGGCTTTTAGTATTTGGGCACTCACCTCCCCGGCAGGCCTGAATAAAGAACATTTTGGGCTTATTTTGGAGTTCTGGACAGTTTGCATTATCGAAGAGCCGGAAAGCCTCCTGCAACTGAAAGAAGAAAATAAATATTCTCCACCAGAGCCTTCTGTAAGCCAAACTCAGTCCCACTTTGCTTCCCAGTATTTTGATTATTAACTCACCAGTCCTTATACTTTGTCCTTTATCTCCAAACTTACCCTGTGACAAACAGGACCCTTCCTCCCTTTCCCCCCCAGCTCCTACTAAAGTTCATGCACTCTACCTAGTACTTGTACAGAAAGGGAGAATGAAATAACTTCTCCACCTGCCCTATTTCTATACCACTTTCTATCTCGTAGAGCCCTCATAGACAGAACCCTGTCCTTTTCTTTCCACAAGCCCATAATTTTTTCCTTTTCAAAAAATATAAATCCTCAGTTTCGCATCACTTTCCGTTTGCTCTCACTTCTTTTTTTACTCTTTTCACTGTTACTTTCCAAGATCCAATCTACAACAACACAGCACATCAGGACACAGGAATATACCTGTAGTAGTTTGCCATCACTGCCATAAACCCCACCCTCCACACCGTGGGAAAGTAAAGCTACGATACAGGAATCCACATCCCGATGATCTGGAATCTTAGAGAATCTCTCCAATGCATTCTGCATCTCCTGGGAGAGAGAAAAAAAATGCTTTCAGACTTCACATGGAAAGTGGGGCAGTGTACAGAGAAAAACACAAGTGGCCCTCCTGTTATGAAATTAACCCTATGCACATCCAATTTAGAGGACAAAAGATGTGTTCCACAAAAAATCCCAGAGAAGTGCTCTCTTATGCGATATTCAGCCCTAGGATATTATGAAGTAGGAATCAGTTCGGACATCTACACTTCCATATGGCCAACAGGGGGATGCAGCAAGGATCTGAGTTGGCACACACACAGATTCATCACAGAGGAAATCAACGGTCTTACCGAGGTTTTACACCGACACTTGGAGTCTGGCTGGGATATCGGAGCAGCTTAAATACATACTCTGGTATTTCGGGCATTCAAACACTCACGATCAAAATGCAACAACAACTTAAAGTGGCAAACTTTCGGAACTCTGACAACATGGCAAGTGAACAGTCTCACTACGATGGCGCAAAAGCTGCGCTCCCGAATAAACACTTAACAGATTCTGTACCGCTTGGTTTCATAGGGATCTAAAAGGAATAAGAACAAATGAGGCTGGAGAAGGCTGGAAAGAGAGTGGCTTGATTCAGTCAGTCATGGAACACTGCCAATTTTTCCTAAAGGAAGCACAGCCACTTCTCTAGCAACGCAACGACTGAAAGCACGGAACTTAACTGTGTTGGAAGACTGACAATTAGGATGGCAATTGACTCCATCAGTGAAAGCACGTGAAAACATCACTTACACTTGCAAAGAGTAGGTCAAATATTTGCAAAGTTTAACTCTGGCCAGGTGTGGTCTAGAAATTCCTGCCCCTTGCACTACAAGGAGTCAGATCAGACTAGAATAGTACCCCTCGTGGTCCTTCCTGATCCTACTTTCCATCGTGAAGTCCTCTGCCTTCCAAACTTCTTCATATTTGTCAGTATGCTAGCAGACACCATCCCATTTAGCCTTATTCCTAAGTGACAGTTCACATCGTCCTGTTCCTGCTGTTATACCACAGGGAACATCTCAAGATGTTTACGTAACACTTACAAACTCTCATCCATACTGGTTAGGAAGTACTGGGATCCACCCTCCTTACCTGTGCAGTTTGATCATGAAAGACAGTCACTTGATATCCAAGACGCTTGAAAAGCATCTCCAGGGAAGTACAGTCCACATCTCCCCCTGCACGATACTCCAAGTCCTTCTCACTGCTGAAGTGGACATTGCTGAGAATAAGTGCAAAGCCTCGGGGCTCTGATACCAGTTTATATGCCTGAGAAGATTTAAAATTGATAAATTTAGACTACACAGGGAAATAACAGTGCTAGAGTAGGAGCGCAATTATTTTTTAATAAATAAAACAAATGCTTGTATTCCAAAAGGTACCAAAGACAAATGTATTTTCAAGTCTCCACAAGTGACGACCCTACAACACTATTACTAAGATGTTACACTAGCTTGCCGTATTTCTTGTTTTAGAAGAAACATGGCCTGTACACTTCAACCTGTCAGCTAGGTCTTGCTAACTTTTTTTCCCTTTCCCCACCTTCACCCCAGCACAGCCCCACATATTTCCATCACTCCCATCGAAGGCCTCAGCTAACATTCCTGAATTGCTGTTGGGAGCAGAGAGAGATGTAAAATAGCATGTGAGTGCAGTTTTAATAGCAAGGGACTGTCAGTCACTCATCCTGAAAATTATGTGGCTGGCCAAGGTTAACAGGGAAAAAAATAATATAGGAGGGGTGTCTTCAAAACAAGAGTGGGAGGGCAGAGAGGGAGCTTAACAACAATAAATCAACAGTAAATTATTTACTAACACTCCTATACAATGGAAGTGAAATTCAGCCAAAGGAGCATACCAAAAAGGGCGTATACAGAAGCAGATGTAAAAGGAGGCAAGTCAAGCTCAACACTGATGCTGCCTAATTAGGTTTCTCCAACAGACAGTTAAAAAAACCCAAACAACAAAAAATGGGTTGTTTTGCTGTACACAGAGCCTGTGACAGAAGTGCCAAGTGTCAGCACACTGGGTAACCCTATTACACAAGATTATTTATTTTTCTTTAAGCCCACCCCATCACAACCTATGCTTTACAAACGGAATAAATAACAAGTAATTAAACTACCTAGGTAACTTCTAAAGCTGCAGAAGAATAGAAATTCGGGTGGTTCTACCCAGTACTACCCAGCACAGAATCCTGATCTGGTTTTTGAGCCTCAGGAGGGACTCCTGGGTACAAATTGGCCATTAAAACAGCCAAGCCTGTGACTACTAGTTAAAACACAATTCTGGTATCTTTAAGTAGCATGTGTTCAGTTGACATAGCCAAACACCTTGCATCTTTCACATCTGAAGGAGCTTTTCTCCGTCAACTACTTACCAAGTGCTGATGATCACGGTAAAATTCAGGAGTGCAGGACCTCACTGGAGGAATCGGGGGACCATCGCCATTATCCAAGGAATGTTCCATTGGTTCTGTGCAAACTAAACGTTACTGACACCAATAAAAAATTCCAACTACAAAGCCTCTGCATTAAGATGGTAACTTGCAAACCCTGAAGCATGTGGTCTTAGGCATATTCCTGTATCATACTATTCATACCTCTAAGAATTCTTCATCAGGGACCACAGACACACAATGAAACACAGCAGAAAAAACCCACAAAAAGTACCAGAATGGTACACTTATTTTGTTATAATTTTCATCGGCAGCTTTGTGTCTTGCACGTGTTTTAGCCTTATCTAAGGAGTAATAAATTTGGTTGTACGCAGTATGAAAACAGAATTCTCACCTAAAATTAGAGCCCTGTGCTTTCTGTCATTTTGTACAGCGCGTTATTCCTTTCACAGTTAAACTGACAAACCACTGCTAGAACTTTGCAAAGACAACAGCACTTTTCCTTTCATGGAAAAGGCCTCCCATGCTCACTGGATACGCCGATTTTTTTTTTTGCTGGACACATGCACAAGTGATCGAACTAGAACTTTCTAACGTCCTTAAGGTGCAATGCTCGTTTGCAGGCACTCCCCTGTCCTGAAGAAACCGAGCTAATGACATTCATGATCTCCTCTGAAACCCTTTTTCAGCCTTTTGAGACAAGGCTCTCCTGGTTGAAGGAACATATGCTCTAAAAACAACCCAACCCCAAAACCTTTGCATCTCAACAAAACAAACCAGCCACTTGTTCTTGAACACCAGGAGAGCTCCTAGTAACCCGCATACAGTTAAAGCTGCCGTTAGGGAACATGAACACTCCCGGAATTACCAGAGGCACCATGAAAACTCCCAAGGAGATTCATTCCATCTATTTCCCTCATCTAAGCCACAAATGCTTGCTGAAGAAAAGCTGATTTGCTGCACTCGACAGAAGCTGCAGAAATCTATGCTGGGGCCATGTAATATATAAAAGGCCTTGTACTTAAGCTTACTTGCTAACAAGAAAGTCTGCGTTAAAGAGTTCTGCCACAAATCAGTATCTTTTCACAGCTGTAGTTTAATTAAACTCTATTACAAATTTTAAACAGGAAAATATTTGAAAAATCTAAAATTTTACTGACATGTACTGCTTAAAAAAAATTTCCTGTAAGAATAAATGAAGCTGACTAGACACCAATTGGGTTGTCTCTACTTCCCTTTCACTTTCTAGCCTAATTCTGCCTCCTGCATCTGATCACAGCATAGTCAGTTCACTGTCAGGTTTGTATTCCTAGCATCAGCCAAGTGGTGGCAAGCTTATTTCTACAACTTAACTAAGAGAGTATGAAGAAATTGGAAGAAACCAATGAGATAGCTGATCACGTATCCATGATGCCATGTGCGACTCACCGATCCGGCGCGATCTCTTCGCATTACATGACTCGCTGGCAGGGAACGGAAGACTTGATTTGTGACAGTGTTCAAGCTAAAAGACACCCAATAAATACATTAAAAAAAAAAAAAAAAGGAGTAGTGTGAACCAGCTGGTTTCTCCTCTACGGTACAGCCCTGTTGGTATCACGCAACAAAGATACATGTATTTACATACACAATATATGACTTAAAAAATAAGATTATGGTTCACATCCAAACACAACATCATGACAAGATAGCAGCATTTTCTGTCAGTGCAAAATTCCTTCCCTTCTTTGCACCTCTCTACTTCTACCCAAACCCCCAGTCTGGAAACCCTACATTGAGTTCATACCCTCCTCATTTTTGCCCAAACGTGATTTATCCAGTGACATCGACCTTTTTGTTTGCTTTCAAGATTTCATTGTTTGTATAGTAAAGCACAATTGAAAAGAAAAAAATTGAAGAGGTAGTCTCACAAATTCTGTGTTTTAATAAGTGAACATGTCTGCTCAAAAATACCCGGTCTTCCTTCTTTCAAATAAAGTATGTTTACTGTGAGATTCCATGCTGTCAGTGCACTGAGAAAACTGAATATTTAGTAAATTCTCCCCTTAATCCAATACAACTGCAGGTAGCAAAAAGGTGAAAATAAAAATAACAAAATAGAGTCCCTCTCTCCTCAAAAGACAAGACTAGCTTTTAGTAGCTTTCTACTCAAGAGGATCACTGAGCACTACAATAAAAGCTTTCAGAGAAAATACTTTCTTCGCAGCTTTTGGGTTCTCGACAACACACTAATTAAGAACATGTTGGATGCAAGAACATCTAGGAACCCCGTGCAGTTCAACCATGAGAAGTGCCAAGTCCTGCACCAGGGGAGGACCAACCCCACGCAACAATACATGCTGGGGGCCACCACCTGGAAAGCAGCTTGGCAGAAAAGGGCTTGGGGGTTTAAGTCAAACATGAGCCAGCAACATGACCTCGACACAAGCAAGGCTAGTGGCATCCTGGGCCGCATTAGGAGGAACGCTGACAGATCAGATCAAGGGAGGCGATCCTTCCCCTTTGCTGAGCTCTGGCAAGGTTGCACCCTGTCCTGTCTTCAGTCCTGGGCCACTCCGCACCAGGGAGATACAGACATGCTGGAGAGAGGCCAACAGCAGGCCACAAAGATGATGGAGGGACTCACGTGAGGAAAGGCTGTGAGAGCCGGCACTGTTAAGCCTGAGGAAGAAAAGGCTTGGGGGGATCTTATCAGCGTACATACACAGGCTGCAAAGAGGACAGAGAGAGGCTATTTTCAGTGGTGCCCAGCGACAGGACAAGAGGCAAAGGGCTCAGCTGAAACACAGGAAGCTGCCTCTGAACATCAGGAAACACAGCTTCACTGTGAGGGTGACTGAACACCGGAGCAGGCTGCCCAGAGACACTGCGGAGTCTCCTTCCTTGGAGATACTCAGAAGCCATATGGATGTGGTCCTGGGCAACCTGCTCAAGGTAGCCCTGCTCGAGCAGCAGAGTTGGACCAGAGGAGCTGCAGAGGTTCCTCCCAACCTCCAACATCGTGTGATTCTGAAAATTCTCTTCTTCCCAAATTTCTTCCCCTCTGCTTTTATTAAGGCCACTACAAGTTTTAATTTGCAGCGAAAACCCACCCTGTCTGTTATAAACACTTACTTTTCCCACTTCCAAAACATCACTTTGTGTCCAAACCCAATCTGAAATGCAGTCCATCCATGTCGTACCTTTGCAATCCCATGGCTCAGACTGGATGTCGTCTTCAAGATCACTGCCTCCAGATGATGCTGTTTGGTTTCCCGCAGAGCTTCGCAGAAGGCTGAGAAGGCATTAGGGCCTCTCTTGGGCAGCAAATTGAGGAATTCCACATTTTGGCTGAAGCTCCCAGACTTGGCCTAGGTGCAGAGAAAAAACAAAATCCACAAAGTAACACCTCAACACAATTCATTTTGAATGAAGCTTCAGAACAACTCAACTTTTTTTCCTTTGTACACACGTTTCACCACTATGCTTAGCTGCGCTAGACCCATTTTTATAGCTTTTCCTACTGGGTTTCACTCCCACTTCTTTCTTCTGTTAGCTCAAGGCAGAGTGCACAACAACACAGCAATCCATACGTTATCACACAAATTAATACACCCTCGTCCCTCTCGACTTTCACTTACAGTTACTTTTGGAGCAGTATCCATTTCCCTCATTGAATCCACAAGCTCCACAACACGTTTTTACTGCTGCCCATCGGTTTATGGTCTCATGCACCAAGCACACAAACCCCTCAGAAGGCGCTAAGTAAAATGCTTATTTTATACAGTCGATTCAGGAAAGATGCTACATACACATCAACTGTGACGTTTAGAGCAATGAAGCAACATACAATAATACATGAGAAAAAGTAAAGATCAAAAATTAAATGTATGTATCTGTGAAACAGCCCCAGGAAGTTCTAATTGTCAGAATACTAAGAGGGCATTTGCCAACAAACTGTAATTTATCCAATAATAGCCTTCCTGGTGAAATTTAAACCACACCAGAACATCACGTACTAAAACACTGGGTATCAAAACTCATTTTTATCAATTCCATGGAATCCATCCCATATTTTTTGGATGACCACTTGGATCCAAGCGCTCATCTTCAGGTGGATGATAAGAAATGGTTGGCGAGTTGCACAAAAGCAAGGCCTCACGCTTGAAAGCACAGGAAAAGCAGAGGGAAAGGAAAGCCTGGAGTCGCACGTGCACATTTTAGGCGGGAGCGAAGCGCAGCGCGCGGTGGCGCGCAGCCTGCCTACCTCTATCATTTCCATCATCTCCGTGGTGATGACGTCCTTCTCTATCATGTGCTCCATCAACTCCTTTAACACCAGCTGTTTCGCCAGCAGCACCCGATTCCTCTTGAGCGCTTCCTGGTGACAGCGCTGCATGCCGCACGCCACCAGCATCCTGGCGGGGGGGGGCAGACCAAAGCCAGCCTTAACGCCACGCGGCCCCCTC